TAATATACTTTATTTTATTTCATAGCAGTTGGATGATTTCAAGAGTTGGTTTTACATGCTATATATATTAAATAATACTGTAATATGCTTTTTCTTAGAGAAAAGTTATAAGTAACTTGAGCTTGACTTATTAACTATGTACACATTATGAATTAGTTTTTAGATAAGCAAAGGGGAGATATTAAAAAAAAAAAAAAAAAAAAAAGGACTTGTTAAAGACAGAGGGTTGCCAATTTTAATTTATTTCTCAGCTGTCCCTACGTTTTTCAACCCATGTATCAAAAGATATTTGTTTCTCAAATGTTCATTTATTAACCAAATATTACCTAAAATTTCCTGTGATCCAAATTAACACCGCACCAGTTAATCTCTATTCTTCAGTCGTTTCATTTAGAAGTTTGGAATTGATAACAATAACGTATAGCTTAATTTCATAAATTAAATAAGATTAAGGAAACTTTAAATACAAGGTGAAAAATGAAAAACAGACATACTAACCAGGAACTAAAAGGTTGCCATCAACATGGCTCGGATTTTGGCTCTTAGATCATCAGAAACTGTGGTGCCTTCTGATGGTAGAGATGGAGCTCTTCTATCAGGATATGATGTTGATACATCATCAACAGACGCCTCACCATTAGTATCGCTAGGTTTTGATTGATCTAGTTTTGCGCAGATCTCTCCTGCCTCCAATTCTGTTTCCCTTTCTGAGTGAGATCTCTTCATCCTGAGCCTGCCCTCATTACCAGAGGAACTATTGTGCTTGTGATGGTATTGAGAATGCTGATGCTCATTGTCAGATGATTTATCATGCTTGCAATGGTGATGAGAATGCCGATACTCATTATCAGATGAACTATGTTTGTGCATGTGTTCCTCATCAGAGCTACCGTTGTGCTTATACCTGCGTCGAGAATCTCTGTCCTTAGAAGAGGAATGCCTTTTACTTTGCTTATACCCATTCCTGCCGTGGTCCAAAAGGTGATGAGATCGCCTCTCTCTTCTGGAGTTCATACAATCCCTTCCTTTCTCATCTTTTTCTTCTTCCTGCACGTCTTCTTCATCATCTTCAAGTTTTTCTGATCTTGAATAGTAGCTCTTCATTGGTCTTCGTTCACTATGCTCATCACCAGAATATTTCTTATCATACTTCTCAGTTCTATCAGATGTAATGACGTCAAGTAGCACTGAACTGCCTTCTCTTTCTTTTCCCGAAAGATTTATGCCATCATTACCTGATCCACAAAGCCCTGACTCCGGTGGCTCTACAGAGAAGCCGCATGATGGATCAGTTTTCAGTGGTGCAGCCCCACTTTTTATCATGGCTGCAAACATTTTTGCCCGTTTCAATCTCTCAGCCTTCAGCTTCTGTTCTTTACTCAAGGATGCTTCAGAGGAATCAACCTCACTTGCAGCTGCAACAGCTGCTGTCTTTGCAATAGCATTGGCAATTGGGGTGGAAACATTTAAGTCTCCTCCCTTTTTGAAAGGCTGAGACAAAAGTTGGCTTCCAGACCTCCAAGCTGACCCACCTTCACTACTAGGGGCCTGGCTGCTACCATTTAATGATGTCTTCAAGAGAACTTCTACATGGGGATTCTTAACGCCTCTTCTTGCAGCCTGAAGAATAGCAGCAGCTGCAGCCACATCAACAGTGACTCCAATCTCTGGCTTGGCAACTTTGGGAGAAGGATATTGTCCATCCTTCTTCGACTTTCCAAGTACCATCTTGAACTTCTCTTTCCTGTCAGAATCATAAGGTATGTCAGATCCAACAGACACAGCATCACTTTCTCTGCTAGCCTTCTCTGCTCCAAGGCTGGATGGATCATGCCTCTCAGAAATGATGCCCTGGCCAGATAACTTTGACTGCAAATGAAGAAACAATACTATCATTAGGACAAAGAAAAAGTGGACAAATAACCAGAACTTCATAGATAAAATCTAAGAATTTACTATCATAATTTAATAAACGGTTAATCATAACATCTTGTGCACATGTGACATGAGATTCTATATGGTAAACAAAACTAAATAATAGCAACAGTTGAAAATAACTCGAGACATGCACTGGTCATATAATGCAACTTGAAGTCACACTTAGCACTTAGGCACCAAAAGGAAAATAATAGCTTGCACAAGTAATATGTAGGCACTTCTCTGAATTCTATTCAAAACACTATCTCTAATGTAGTCGTCGCAACTGAACTATAATAAAAGGAGTCTTTTTTAGGAAAAAGAAAAAAAGAGGAGGAAAAGATAACTTTAGAATAGTACAAAAATTGGAACGCACCTCTTCAGCTTTTTGTAGAACTTTTCGATAATAAGGATGATACTGATTAGCTGGCATCAGGAAAGGAGACCTCCCATGCCTAACATCTTGTTCAGCCAGAACTGACTCAAACTCTTTCCCATTTTTCATGATGAAATGAACAATCTTATCAACCACTCTCTTTAAATCAGAGGGAGGCTCGACAACAGGTAACTCAACCTCTGATGTGACTGGCAAAGCAGAAGCCCTTGATTTGTCTGCGGTATTGCCATCATTTTCTTTCCTCATCTCACTTGTCCACATTGATGGGTTTCTTTTCAATACAGAAGCCTTGCCTTTCAGAGGAGGTGAATATTTGGGAACAGCCTGATCTTTCCCATCAAGAATTAAAGATGGTTCTTTCTGTTCTGCCTCACTTTGTAGTGTTTTATTAACAGAACCAGCTTCGACGGATGTGTTTCTTTCATGTTCTGGGGAATTCACTCCTGCACCTTCCTCATCCTCCCCAAATCCATACGTTGTACCTAGCAAAGACAATGCTCCACCTCCTCCAACACTACTTGTCTCAAATTTGATCCCTTCTTCCTGAGATTTGCCACTCAAAAGCTCCTGGTGATCAACAAGAAACCTATAGTATGGATGAAGGGGATGATCAGGCATCAAGAATCCAAATGTTAGGTTGTCTCCCTGTTTGACCCTCAAAATGATTTCTGACTGCCCACCATGTTTGCTCACAAATGTAGCTGTTCTTGCAATGATCTGATGTACCTTTTCGGTGGGAGGCTGAAGAAACAAATGAAAGAAAAGTCTCTTCGTCAACAATGTGGACTTAACAACTGGATCAATAAAAAATCTTAAGAATAATCCAATAAATGAAAATAAAAAGAAAACACAGAATCTTACATATAGTCAGAAAACCACAAAGATCAAAAAATGGAATCTAAGAAGACATACATCATCCCATTAACTATCAGTCATTAAGATTTGTGAAAGGTAATGAATTTATATCATCCTATCCCACCTGGATGGCCCCTTGTCATCATATCAAAAGGAAACAAGAAATCCACCTCTGCTCCGAGCATCTGAAACTTAGACATTTTAAGCCTTAGAACAACACATGCAACTTACTCAACTATCATGAAACCACACTGGAGATGTGCAAAACGAACAATTATATCTAGATTATAAGAAAAGGCAGAGGGTGAGTTAACTGGGAGAGAGGCATGTACTTACTAGGTTTTGAAGCAAACTTTCAGGCAGCAGAAAGGATGGATGCAAAAACAGAATCAGCATCGGTATCCTTTTTCTCTTTTGATTCACCAGGGTCTCCATAAGAAAAGGGCACAGCCTTATAGCCCCCAGCATTGGCTGGTTCCTCACCATTTTTTCCATCTGAAATCAAAACAAATGAATCATATTCCAAAGAGGCCTATATCCACTTATGGTGCTAAAAACACATTACAGCAAAAATTTAACATCAAAACATAATAAAGCAAATAGGAAATGCCAGAACAAGGTAGGAATACTCTTACTTGTCTCTCTGAAAGACAAAACTGTTGCAAACTAGATTTTTCCCTGCAAACTAGGAGAGGTAATACGTAACATTCATACAAACAACTATAACTCTACTCCGTGCTAGAACCAATACTCTGTCCATTATAAGTAATGGTGAAAATAAAATATATACAAGGGACTTTGTTTCTACACATAAGCCTTTCAAATCTAACAGAGATATAAATCATTTCAACACTAACCATCACTGTCAATAGCCAATTTACTTGTAAATCAATGTTGGTTCAACTACATCTGGGACAAATGACATAAAAGAATGGAAAAAGAATCAAACTACTTCTACACCTTCAATTCTCTGTCTCGAGTAAGTTAAACACATATATACAAATGTTCCAGTGAAATTATCCGCTCCCACCCCACCCCCCCACCAACAAATATAAATATATATATATATATATATATAGATTATACCATTAAATAAAGGACACTCCATCTTAGCATCTTCTTCTAACCAAAAGACTAAAACTTTTCAATATTGCAAGCAAAATTGGTTAATCCAGCAGAAAAAAGATGCTTTCAATTGGATAATCATAAATCATCCGGGAAGAGTTATATGTCTTTGCAGTATCAGAACCAACAAAAACTAAAGAAAACATAGCAGAAATAACTTGGCCAAAGCTACAGATTTGAAAATAAAAACTAACAAAATCGGCTGTTTTTACCTTGGCTCTCGGTTGGTGATGGAGAAGGAGGAGGTAAATCCTGATAACGTTCGACATCGAGCTCAGACTCCAAATGACCATCCGGATTTGGCATCGGAGAGGAAGGGTGGCACCGCCTTTTGCGAGGGGGAGGAGGGGAGGACAGGAGGTGACGCACGTCGTATCGATCGATGAAGAGAGAGTTCCACTCGACGAGCGCCTCCTGGGAGCTGACAAACGACGCCATCGCATCATCATCAAAGAGCAGCGCGTGGTGCCCCACCACTTCTAGATCCATTTCCTGTTCGTCTAGGGCTTGTTTCCGTACCGTCGGGGGGAGAGAGTTAACGATCGGAGCTCGAAGCAGCAAACGGTTTCTTTTTGTTGCAGAGAAAATGGCGGTTGCCGGGTAAAATAAATAAAAACGTAAGCCTTTTTCCTTTTCATTTTTTCTTGTTTTTGCAACGATGCCCTTTTAATTAATCTAACTATAATTTAGTTCCTTGAGTTTTGAATTTCCTTTACCTTGACCAAAAGGTTTTAAGATTTTCCAATCCACCCTGAAAGGATAAAATCAGGAAAATTAGCATTGAGGTATTTAGTTTTGTGCTTTTTTAAGTACTATTTTATATATTTTAGAAATAATAAAAGAAAAAAAAAAACACCTGCAGCAATAGCAACAACATATGCATAATATAACATATTATTACAAAAACTTAATTTTGCCCGTAGCTATTAAATGTAAAAGTTTATTAAAAGGTTTCTTTTTAATTTAATGGTTAATGTTTTATAATTTAATATAATTTTAGTTATAAAACACTTCTTTGTTTTAATTAACAAAATTAACTATAAAAGTCAATAATTTAAGATATTTTATTTTTCTATATATCTAATGACTGAAAAATTTACTTTCTCTTTTAAGTATTCTTATCAAATTTCAATTTTCCAAAATGTTTCAACTTAAGAGAGATCTGCATTGAAGAGGAGGCATTAGGCACAAGTCCTATCTCTCTTCTAAAAAATATGACTATAATTTTAAAACTTTGTAATTACAGACCCCACCTATTAAATAAAAATAATACACAATACTTTTTAATTTTAGACGTTACGAATAAAAAAATTCAATAAACCCTACTCAGTAATTGATCCTGATTCCACCCCTAATTCAACTGCATTGTTCCTACCATGGCTCTGTGCAATACGACATGGATAAGTCCATATAAAAACATTGTAGAGCTTACTTTTTGTATATTTCAATGATTCTGTTGCAGTAGAAGCAAAGAGAAATAGCTGAAAAGAGTGCTTCATAACTTCTTTTTTTTTTTTAAAGAACTGAAAAGAGTGAAAAATGAGAGAAAAGTAACACAATTGTGAAATTGACCAACTGCAAGTATATTGAATTTGAGCTTTATTTATTGCAAGTAAAGGAAATGAATATGTTTACAAGCAATACAGTAGGAAAAATGCTTTCCCTAAATGAGAGCATAGTTTATGTGGTGAAAAGACATAAAGAATGTCCTTCCATGTAGATTAGATGGTTATAGAGGGTGAGAGCATAGAATTTATCCACATGTTCTTTTCCAGAAAACTGATTGTGGACTTCAGATATTGGTCATTTGCACTCAAGCACGATTGGGCTGTTTCGATCAGTTTGGAGCAAACTGGTAGTACAGAGTCATTTACCTGCACAAGGATAAATTGATAACAAAAGTAAAGCGCAAAACAACAAGTGTAATTTAATGATCTTCTTTGCAAGTTTACTTTATCTACATAGTTGTTCCGGCTAGTGTAACTAGAGGGACAGTAGTAATTTGCATAGCAGGCAAATCACAGCGCATCAGTTTTAGGCCCAGTCATATAACTCATTCACTAGTCATTTCGTTGAAATTTAGTAAGGTATTTTTAATGAGAAAAAATATAAGTTGCTGCAGAACGGGATACAGGGACCTACTTTGCAAGATGATGCTAGGTGGTTGCAAATTTCGAGTGCCATGCTTCCACGAGCAGCCTTAAGTTCAGCAGTAGAAGTCAGCACATAAACATAATGGTATATATATATATATATATATACACACACAAATATAAGATCATCTGTTAAAGGAAATAGTTACCCTGGAAGGCTCTTGTTCAATCACATCAACAAGGTCCTGAAGAACAGACTCAGTCAAGGAGATAAGTTCATGCATGTAAGATGAATCACCAAAGAACAGTATGTCATTGCATAGAACCTGAAGAATACATGTTATGGAATGTATTAGACAACAGAAATTCAAGTTACGGAATGTAATCCTTTCTGGCATTTTACCTGATTCTAATTTATTTTGATCAAATCAGAAATTGTAAAATTCTTAAAAATCAAAACCATTTAAATGAAACTATGGAAGAGTGGTGGAACAACCTCAGGATGGTCTGCACGGTATGGGAGCCTCTGCTGAGAAAGTGTTGCTAACAAAGAAACAATCCCACAAAATATCTTTGCCTTTATTCTGGGTGGCCTACAACAATGCCAGAGAACATCAAATAGTAACTAAATCTAAGAAAGGAAATGATTATTGATTAGGAATTACACCAACATTTAAAACATTTCAGATATGATAGAAACCTAGAAAGGCTTACCATGATTGGGAATAAATCATTGACAGAACATGCTTTGGAACATGCAAAACTCCTTGTTCAGGATTATCTTCAGTGAGAGAAAATAAAATTAGAAGAAAATGAAAAAGAAAAGAAAAAGAGACATATATTATATATATAGAACTAATAAAACCAATAAATTTAGAAAACTAGGCTAAATTAGTAAACTTTCTGGACAACTTTAGAAACCAATAAAATTTTCAATAACCTGGAACAACAACTAAGAAGCTGCATAATTTTTGAATAGAGGAGAGTATCCCATCACTATCAGCTTGAATTCGAGAGCCTACAAGGCAAATATACTAATTTAACACCCAATTTAAACACATCAAACCATAATATCATTGATAGAATAAATAAATTCAATAACCACCATCTTCTACATAAATCAAAGAAGTTTCATTATAGAAGTTTAATTTCCATATTTAAATATTACAGAAATGAAAAAAGTGCTGAACAATATTCATGGTTATAGAAGCTTATGCATCCAGGTGATTAATACAGCTTTTGCAGATAATAGTATAGATCCCATATGCTTTTCAAATACAAAGGATAAATGTGATACTTCAACTACTAGTGCCTTGATGGTGCTCAACAAGTTAAACCAACCTTCATTCAAGTCTATATTCTGTAAACAGTTGATTGCTGAATCTATCAGTCCATCTGAATGAGCAAATAAACCACCTAACAAAGCAACCTACCATACAGCAAGACAAGTGAGAAAGGCTTTGTGGTTAAGCTGACTCAGATAATAACTAAAAGAAGAGAAGATTACCTCAGCAGTTTCTAAATACAGATGCAGCTGTTTGATGTGAGAAGAAATAGAAGGAATTGTAACTTCACTAAATGCTATGCAAGATCTGAAAAAGCTGAGGTTTTTTTTCCCATCATTAAGAGCTTTAGTAGCTATGGAGTTACTAGCATGAACAATAGTTTCCTGCAATTAAACCAACATTTTGAATAAAGCTACTTTGTTTATTCATCTCATATTCTGTACCATGATGAAAAATGCATCTAGTAAAAAATCAAACACTTTCATCCAAACCCTCCACCACCACAACCAACCGTGATGTTTCTCTACAACTGAAAAAAAGGAGGAATAAATAAAAAAGAAAAGAAAAGACTAGTTATGTCAAGTCTGTTAGCATACCACATGCCTAACTTTCCCTGCTTCCATCAACAATAAAAAAAAAAAAGAAAAAAGAAAAAAAAAGAAAGACACCTCTAACATCTATCCTGAAATTGCAAATTTTGCATTTCAGCTAGTATATAGCAATAAAATATGTGCCCTGAATTCTTTACACCTTTCAAAATGAAGCGCATAAGATTGGTTATCTACTATATATCTATAAAATATAAAAGATCCCCTTCACAAGAAGATGCCCATAATTTGCTGAGATGGATAAGAGAAATAATATCCTTTCCAGATAATATCATTACGTCATCTTATGGGGGAACATTTGAATTGTATGATGCTGTTATTTACAAGGATGACTGAATAGTAAAGAAAAATAACAAGATATGGGCATAGAACGAGGAGAAGGCGCTTTCATTTTATGCCTGTGTATACCTTAAGCTCATTTATGCCAGCAAAAGCCCCACGACATTCAACTAGAAATGCTAAATGCCTTTCAAATTCTGTCTCATGGTCAACCTAAAATTAAAGAAAACAACTAATAAACAGATTGATAGCAACAAGTAACTCACAAACTATAAGACCTGAAAGATAAGAGCAGCTGGCACCTACCAAACGTACAAAACGAGAAATTAGTCGTGCTTGCTGTTGGTTATCATCAGTTTTAATGTTTGCAAGATCAATATCATTATGTAGTGCCTGAGCAATTTCAAAAAGCAATTGTATGGTGGTTGGCTCACGAAGATAACCCATCCTGCCCAACAGAACATAGATAACTTCTATCAGGAATTTGGACTAATTATTTATACACTAAATAGTAAATATGGGCAATCTTCAGCAATAAATAAATGTAAAGGCAAAGAATGCAGAAGATCACCAAGTTTCAAGGAATTAACAGATAGTAGAGAAGATATTTTTAAAATCTATTTTAGTTATGAAAAATTATGAACATGTCTATCAATTCAAGAATTTTCAAGGATTAATAAAAACCAGTATTTGAAGGACTCAAACTCTAAGGATCTAATACACAACGTGGCTGTGCAAAAAATCAATGCAGGTATGAGCATCACAGGAAAAAATGCAAGAAACAAGAAGAGAGGTACTTAGCTGTACATAAGTTTGGAGTATAAAATTGAATAAAATTTACCTTGTTGCCTTATCAAGTATATGCATATTGACAATGCTGAGAGAGCTTCCATGCATCATATCAAGGATCTCAAGAAAATGGTTCTACAAAATAACCATTACAACCAATCAATATAAATATACCAGAGCTTCTAACAGTCTTGACTAGTGAAACCCATCAATGTGAAGCAACTAAAGTAACTAGTAATATGTTATCAGCATATTCATAAGACAAGCTCCAAAATGCAAAGAGTGGGTTGATGCCTGAGGGAGGATGAGGGGGGAAGAGTGAAGAAGAAATATCTAAATTCTAAAATTGAAGTTTACTAGGAAGATTACCAAAGCAAATACATCTTCCAAGTCCTTGAAATGAGAAAGAAGCTTCACCAAGATAGATTCCAAGCTTGCTAGTTCATCTTCAACAATCTCTTTACCACAAGCTAACTCTGAAATTCTTTCCAAGATGGTGTCTAAATGACTATCCTGGAAACAGTGGATTCAAAAAGACAGTTATATATTATATAAATTTGACATGAAAGGCACATCACTTTAGAGAAAGCATTAGGAAGATTAATTACAACGAGCAAGGAGGTTTGATGTTATGCGCATTCATGTTTTATTCTTTTCCCAGTGTGGCAGCAAGCAACCTGTATTATAATCAAGAATACAGCCATTTTTGTATGCTAGATCTTAGTTGAGTTAAAATATACATTAGAGCAAAGGGGTTCAAGATTCATTTTTCCTTTCAAGTACAATCCATGCAAATGACCTATCATGAGGCATCATAAAGAAGTTGCTAAGAATGTTAACCATGCTCAAAAAAACATTGCATTCAAAAACAATATAACAAGAAATGCTAAGTTTTTGCAAAATATAAGTAGCATGAGAATGTGAATTGGTAACTAAAAGTAGCATGAGAATATATGCATACGAAAGTTTTGAAGTGGAAAATGGAAGCAGAAAGTTCCAAAAAGGCACTCAAACTTACCATCTGATTTTGAAGAATAATATCAAGAAAAGCATCCACAACCTTTAGGTACTCATCAAGTCCATATTGGGAGACTACCTGATGTTGAAATTATTGTGAGACATTAGTTCACCAGTAAACAAAGTATAATTGAATAAACACTATATTGCATAACATGTGCTTAATCCCTGGTAAGTACAGAAATAGCCCAGGTAAAGAACCATCCAAATTTCATTTTGATTGGTGCATTCTTAAAAAAAGAAAAAAAGAAAAAAAAAAAAAAAGAGGTTAAACTGCGGCTGACTGAAAAGATCAAGCAATGCGTTGACCATGATTAACAACAAAATGCCAATCCTCAAGTCTTTAGTGTTGATTAACTCATTTGAAAGACTGTTCACCTCTATCCTCCAAATGATAAGAGTAGGAGTGAAATTATCAATAATAATGAAGCATACTAATCTACAGGGCAACAATTATTCTAGAACAGTCTAGAATCATCTCTATACTGTTAAGAACGACACTATCTCTAAAGTATCTTGTACATTCCAGATTTTTTCTTCTTCCATCTTGAACTAAAAAGAAGGCATCATGCATCTTTTAGCAAAAATTATTGTCATCTACCAGCTCCCCATTCTTAAAAATACACCACAGCTCATCTCTGCACCTTATGCTAAGGAAAGAAAAATATAAAACATTATAGGAAAAAAAAAGTCACCAACAACAGTCTATAAATAAATTTCGCATCAGAAAAATTGAAAGACTAGTTTAATGAAGCATAAGCTATAAAAGAATGATCATTAACCATTCAAACCATCTATCAACTGGCGCATTAAACATCAAATACCTGAATAACTTCATCTATAACAGCATTATAATTGGCAATTTGAAATCTCCTTTCACAAAGCCTGAGTCCAAGCAACCTGTAATTCAAAGACTGCCCCAACAAACAATAATACAAATAGTAAGAATTCAAAAACCGCATATCAAAATGAACTATGAAGAAAGGGCAAAAGTAAAAGGCATCACAACCTGATTATAGGAATAATCATTGCTGCACTTGATGAGTTGAAGGATATCCATGGCATGAGAGTTGACCATATTAGTTGGAAGTTCCTTCAGTAAATGTTGAAGAACAATTGAGACACATGGAGAACTGCCAAACAACTCCCCTTGGTTCCTTCCTAACCCAAGCTCCACCAGAACTTTGTACACTTGCCTCTTCAAATGATAATAGAAACAGTATTGAATCAGAATGGAACAGAAGAACAAATTCAGAAAAGAGAAACTGATTATATAAGCTTACTCTGTAGCTTTCAATGATAACAGACAAGATAAAATAAAAGCAGAACAACAATGTGCATGTCACTCCAAATAGCAGATACCACGGATAATTATCACATCAAACCCCAAAACTCACCTGAGATACATCCTTGAATATGCATTTCATAATAAACTCAATAGCTGGTTCCATCAGATTAACAAGCAACCTTTTTTTGTCAGCATGACCATGTGAAGTTTTCTTTGTTGACGATATTTGCATCACCAGAATTTTGATGTCATTAACACATGTAGCTAGATACCCTGTGACAGGAATGAGAATCATGCAAGGGTCACCATTGAGTAGTGTTCTAAACTAGTTTCCAATAAAACAGGTTTAAGGCAGAGTACAGTAAAATTTTTCTGTGGAAAACATTTTGAAATTCCATGCTAATGAGTAATAAGGATGATGATGATTTAGCACGAGGCCTTTGTGCACCATTTCAATGGGCATGATTTGCATGATATTGAGAATTGTTGCAAATTAGAATAGGTTTTAGGTTTTAGTTTCAATTTATGTGTGATTTTATGTTCAGGGTAGAAATTTCAGCATCTTCATAATGTAATGCACCCTTGCCTTTCATAAATGAACTCCTCCAAAGCATCCTAAACCCATCTTGGGAACTTATCCCTTTTCTATATATATTCAAACCCAAAAAAAAAAAAAAATTCCTTTTAGGGTCACCAATCATCATAAATCCATGTTGGTTTGTACCACACATTAATCCAACATCACACCATTGCAAGGACTTAGCATCACTAATCATTCACAATTATCTGAATCATAAATTGTCCATCAATAGGCTACAAGAACATGGGTAAGCTAACCAGTACATAATATGTTCCAAGCCTGGCTAAAGGGACTTGCATGTACAATGGTAACACTTGGTATACATGGTCCAATATGAAGGGGTCGTTAATCTGGATAAGAATCTGAAAAGTACATACCAGTGTCATTTAAGCGCAGCTTCTGGGCACAATGGGCAAGATATAGGCGACAGTAGGCAGATGCCAATGGATCTGCTAAGCCTCTTGTCATCATAACAAGGCGCTGGAGACTCTCTATTGGCTGGTCAAGCAGGAAATGCCAGCAGGGCAAAATTGCCAGCTCCAAATAACTTAAGTGCAATATCCGAAAAAGAAACCAACAAAAAACTACTAAGAGAGAAAGATAAAAAAGAGAGCAACGAAAAACTACAAGTGAATTTGGCCAATCAAGTTGGGCTGATTTAACAACCACTATGTTTGCTTTCACTCTTAATTTATCAATCAAGGCAGCAAGCTTAATGAAAGGGGGAATGGGCACCTTCAAATCATCACCATAACTAAAAGATTTGAAGGAAAAGAAAGGTAGAGATAAGAACCTTACATGCGAGGAAGGAGCTCCCGGATGGAACCAACTTTGCAAAACCAGTTATTGCAAGTTTCTTTGGCTTCAAAACAGACATCACTAGCTTCAAAATTCTCTGCCATAAATCCAAAAATTCTATGATATGTATCAAGAAACATAATCATGCTGGTACTGTCCAAACAGGACCAACAATATTCATGCAAAGTTGCAAACCTAGGATTATCATAGAACTATTTATTTAAAGACAGATACTAGCAATATTTTATTAAGAATGAGGCAATTACACCAGGCCAGTTCTGGGTCACCTTTTCCCTATGTGTTATGGCTATCAACTTAAAATCACAGATCAAAAACATTTTCCTCAAATAAAATAAATAAAAGTGGGTGAAATCCTGATTTTCTCAAATATTTTATAATGATACTCCAAATATGAGGACACCAGAATTTCATAACTTATAATAAGAGAATTCTGAACACAAATCCATGTATTAATACCTATTTATATGTCATCATTTCACTTCACATCCAACATACATGTTGCCATAGATAGAAAAGAAAAGGAAAACAATGATGAGTGACTTCAATCATATACATGCAATTGAAAGGTCATAAATCAACTTGCATGGTGACTACTCAGTTTTTGTTTAAATAATATGAAAAGCATACTAACAGAGATGTTGTGATCAAAAGTCTAAAACTTTAAATTTAATGAAAATGCAAAATAACAAGGATAGAGAGAGAGAGAGAGAGAGAGAATGAGAGGGGTTCAAAATTGTTGGCAGACCTGGCAAGGAATGTCTGGTTCCATCTTCAGCAAACTCAGCTTTCTGCTCGATGCGTTCCCATACCATGTCACCAACCATGTCCAATATGTCTGTGGCAAGGACAAACAGTGTAGGATAAAAATTTGAAACTGATGTATCCAACAGAAGCTTGGCAACCTGCAGAACAGAGAATGTGATTCCACATTGTATGGTGTATAATTCATACTTCCATTCCATATTCAAGTTATGATACCACTTTTCTCTATTTGGTCAACTACAACAGCACTCTTAGACCTACAATTCTCATAAGAGATTAATTGCCACTTGCCTGGTAACGGCAACAACTTTTCTTCATTAAGATAAAAGAATTATTCAAGTTAAGACAATACGGAAACAGAAAACACACTACCAAGACAGATATGTCCAATTTCAAAATAGCAGGGTAATTCATTTGCAAAGCGTTGAACACGTCAATGCTACTGATTCCCTAAAATGAATATTAAGTACACAAGAAACCTGATAAATACAAGGACATTGGTTTCTTCCTGCTCCAAATCTTTTATTAGCAGAAAAGGTGGCTTAAGAGTAAAACTCACCTTAATAGATAACTTCAAACCCGTAACACGATCTTCAGCATGCCAAGCACGATTTATTTCATCTTTAAGCTCATGTAACCGTGACACATATTCCTGCCGAGTGATGACCTTGCTTCCCTGTTCTGGCTCATCCAGTTCCTCAAGGTGCATACTTGCTGAAGAATTCCTCACAAGGAACAAAACAATTTCACCACATAGCTATAATCAGTTAGTATCTCAGCTGCATTGAAAGGCAGTCGAGTACACTGACAATGAAAAATATAAAAACAGAACTACTTTATCTTGACAACCCAAAATCATGAAGAATTAACAATAATAAAGAAAAAAAAATTTTGAAACTTGAAAGGAACTCAGTCTACCATATTTACTGTACCTTTTCCACTTCTCACTATCACATTGGACATCTGTGAGGGAAAAAGAAGATTTGAAAACATAAGTGCAAGCGAGAGACAGAAAGATGCAATCAAATGAAGCATTGAAAAGGCAAATTATTCAAAGAAGATATCTGAAGCCTTAAATACTCAAATATAACATCTCAACGGAGATATGAAGCTCACCGAGGATATTGAGACCATTTTGGACACCGGAAACCTCTGCATCAAGAGTCGCTTAAAGGATGTCCATTCCTTCGCTTGAACTTGAGCAGCAGCTTCGTTTTCGGCAGAAGGAGAGTCAAAGTCTTGAAGGTCGTCGAGAGAAGCCGCCGTATTGGCATCGGGTGCTCTAAGTGGATCAAAGAAATCATTAGCTCTATCTTCCACCGCAACATCTTCAGCCTGCATAAAATGTAACAAATTTTAACTCCGCGAATAGAAACGCCCCGAACAGAGGAGCTGAGTGGAGAAACTAAAGAATCAGATCAAGAAATTGTAGTAGGATATGAAACATATGACGGAGGATTTGCGCACCTGGTGGTGGAGAGATGGAGATGGAGCTGAAGCAGAGAGAGGGTGATGTTCGGCGCTTGATCGAGGGAGAGCATGGGATTCTTTCTCCGCAACGTAATTTCGACGCCTGAACTCCATTGAAGCTTATGCTCAACTCTTCTTCTGGTTTTCCGACTTTCGGTCCGTCGGACGATCGACGACGACGAGGAGATCGAGACTTGTCCCCCAAAACGCGTCGTTTTCCGCCTCTTTTTCGTCCCTTTTTTTTCTTGGAAAAACTAAAGCGTGATTTTTGGATCTTTTAATAAACGACATCGTTGGGATCTTGGTCCTCGAGATGTTGGGCCATTAAAACTCTAGCACGAAGCCATGAACTCAGCTCATTTGGAGTCCATAATTTTTTTCTTTTGTTTTTTAATCAACTGGAGAGGCTGGAGCCCGTAAACTCTACATTGGGCCTCCCGGCTTGAGCTCTTTCTCTTCTGATGAAATTTATTAATAATTCCATTTCCAACTCATAGAAGTATACAGCATTGCCTAAAGAATGGTGTCCGGATTGATAAGGAAGTTTGTTCTTTATTTTATTAATTAAAATTTAATTTTTTGAGTAAAAAAAATAAAAGGTATTTTTTAAAAAAAATTTTAACCTTAGCTAGGTGATTTTCTTTAACTAAAATAATAAAAAATTAATCTTAAGCTACATGTAAACTTACTTGAAAGGCCTACAACTATTAAAACAAAATGAATGTATATGTTTTTAGATGAGAAGACAAAGAAAAGAAACTCAATAAAAGCACTTGGTCCTTTAGGCCAAGTAGCCTTCGAACCAGCTTAAAGGTGCAGTCCCTCCTCCTCTGGTGGGTTTGAAGTTCGAATTCCACACTTGACACTTTATTCAAAAAAAAAAAATCAATAAAAAAAATTTAAGAACATTTCATGTAAATGCTCATAGTAAAACATTATTATTTTTTTTATCAACCAAGAATTTAATTAATTCGGAGCGTGTAAGTGAAATGATCATACAAGCATTCAATCTCTATTGTACATACATTCCCTTTGGCAAATCTTTTGAACATAAAAGTAGTCAGAAGGTTTGAGAGCACGAATATGAATATTTAACAAGATATGTCAATTCTAGGGCAAGTAAACAGAACATGCACTACTTATCAGGTTGGTGTGATCTCAAGATCTCTGTTGCATCTGCCGATCCAAATTGGGATTTTATTCATATCTATGCATTAATTAATTAATTTATATCCCTCTCTTTTGACTTCCTATAGCTACTTATTTCTCAAGCACATCCATATATATTTATTGGATGGTGATTAGTACATACTTGATTCAACACACTGTATAATATATTTATTAAAAATTATTATTTTTTAATTTAAAATTAAAGATAAACAAATTTAAAAATATAATAATATATATATGATACATGAATTAACTGAATCAATTATATTTATATTATATTTTTAATAGTTAAATTGAAAGTATATTGAAAAAATATTTTAAATCGAGTGTACCAATGAGTTTTTATATTGATTTTAAGCCTTTGTTTAATTTTTCATAAAACGTGTATTGCACTATCACGTATCGTCATTAATTAATTTTCTTCACTACTACCTAACTTAAATTTGCTAATTAATCTTCATTTTGAAAAGAAATGCAAGTTTTGGTTTAATTAAGAATGTTTGAAGCTTGTTTGTTTAATTTGTTTTGTTTTGCTCTCCATGAATTGTGTGGTTTGTCAGGTTTCTTGGAATGTCAAATATAGGGGCTACTTTGCTTTTTCCTAACGCCATGGGCGGTTTGCCCTTCGCCAGCCTGCCATGTAAGGACCTTCTGATCTTTTTTTTATTAAGGCAGCCTAACCTGGTTTGCAAGAATTAATTTTAAGTCAGCGATGGATGCATGAATAACTTGAGTGAAATTTAACATGCTTAATAACCAAAACTAAAATTACGAAATTTTTATAAAAAAAATTATTTTATAGTTTAAATTGTAACGAATTATATATAAAATAATAAACTTTAATTAAAGAGAATTCTTTGATATTGGACCTTTCTCTCCTCATCCAAGAGTTCTAATTTTGCATTTTACAATCAAATGTAGTTTGAACTACAAAATAAAGAATTAAATTTTTATATTAAGTTAAAATATATTTATATACAAAACATATACATAAAATATTGATTATTTATTTCTTTATAATTATGAGTGATTGAAATTTATATACTTTTTATTCATTTATTAAAGATTTCTTTTAAAGTCATAATAAATCTCAATCTTTTGTAGCTGAAAAAATAATAATTAAAATTGTGTAAATAATATATAGAAGAGTTGTGTGTAAATTGATCTAACTCTTTTATATTTTTAAATACTCAATTTTATAATTTTGATTTTTTTTAATTCTTTTAGAATCAACTAATTAGTTTTTTTTTTTTTGACAACTAATTAAGTTATTAATTTAAACCTTTAAAAATTGGACCACACTCCTTGCATCACATCCCAAGATCTTACACCTTTTACTCTTTTCCCAGCGTCAGCCCCCTTCTGTGTCCTCCTATAAACACCAAGTCTACCCTCCCCCATTTCATCCCACACAAAAAAATTATCTATCTCCCCAACAACAATATCCACCTCTTTTATCTTTCATATAGCCATGGGACTCAAGAAAATCATCTTCACCATCGCCGTCACCATGGCTATAACCATCACCCTCGGCATGAACCACATTGGTCAGCTGGTCGAGAAGAAGCTACCTTCTGACGCCTCTTCATCTTCCACGGTGGACCTTGGTGACATGCAAGAAATCAAGCCAATGCCTTCCAAGAGGTTGGGCCGCTTCCTCACGGAGGACCACAAGAACCCTAGGGCAGGGGGGTACCACCACTGCTACAAGGACAACCAAATTTGCTATGCCTCCAAAGGGTACAACTCCACATGCTGCAACAAGAAGTGCATGGACTTGTCCGAGGACAAACACAACTGCGGTGCATGCAAGAAGAGGTGCAAGTTTACGGAGGAGTGTTGCCAGGGACGGTGCGTCAATATAGCATTTGACAAGAGGCACTGCGGCCGTTGCAACAACCAGTGCCCGCTCGGGGAGTATTGTGTCTATGGGATGTGTAATTACGCGTAATTAAGAGAAAGACTACAATCTTGTTTGTTCGTGAGGTTCGTGATCAATTTATTTATAATACAATAAATAAGCCACATTTGAGTGATTTCTCGCATACATATATAGTTATAATTAAGTACATTGCATATGTTCATCCAAATGTAATGATCATATAAGAAAATTAATTTTAAGTATATCTAATGTGTGCATTTAATTACTTGTTGTTAATTATTACACATTTTTGAATTACAAATAAAGAGACATTACTTTTAATTATTGTTTTTTATATTATTGTTTTTTTTTCATTTGTGTTCAACAACTTTTTTCAATATTAAACCAATATATCATTGTTATAATTTGAATTTTGAAATAAATTTCAACATTGTTATTTTGTTGTGGTATTTTATATTGATGCAATCTAGTAATTGAGGTCAACAATCATTTCCTGGCTAGTATCGATCACTTTAAATTTTAGAAACTTGAGTCTAATTAATTAAGGTTTGAGTGAATTTAAATTAATGAATTGAATCGAGAATATTTTTTCTTAAATGTATGGAAGCCTTTAGATTCTTAAGAAGTGCTCTTGAAGAGTACTGTTTAATTAAAGTTCTGTGAAACAAGGAAGAAGGGTGATTTTGAAAGGGAAAAAAAAAAAAGAAATTAGTTTATGGTTACGGACTGTTGGGGATCTTCCACATATATACCACAGTTGTTGAGTTAAGGAATTGAATCAGGCTAAACACTTGAATATTGCCCAATATTAACACTTGAAAAGTGAAAATACTATCCTCAATTCAATAAACTAGCTTATTAGATTTATAGGTTTTCACATATGATATGATATATATATATAGATGATTAAAAAAATATTTATATATTACTTACTTTAACTCCGTAGTTCTGATATGTATTAGGTTTTTATCTACTCACTACATGTGAGCACTAAACTGGGAATATATATATATATATATATTTTGGGCATTATATATGATGGTTTGTTGACACCACATTTTATTGACAAAATACTCTCACAACAACCCCATAACATATTTCATGCAGGGGGGTTATTGACACTAATACATAATAACACATCACAGGTTTTAATATAATCATGTAGTATTATATTCGTACATTATATTTTTTAAAAATTTTAAATTTTAAATTTTTTAATAAATTAAAAGGTATAATAGTTAATTAAGATAAAAATATATGATATTAATAATTGAGATTGACAATAATACCACTCATTTAATAATGTAACATTTATTTTCTAAACGTCAATTAAAATGAAATTAACAAAAATTTACACTAGTCTAAAACGTCAGTTATATGATGTTCCATAATGAGGGGTATGGAAATGATAAAGTACGTAATATTAATTGAATTTGCACATTATTTTATTTTTTTGAGTGAATATAATTTGCCCATTATTAAAAAATAAAAATGCACATTATTAAATGTGAAGCAAACACCAGCTTACAGCGATCATTCATTTCCTTACTAAAACAGAAAAGTGGCCAAATTAGCTTCTTCTTCCTTTTTTTTTTTTTTCCTTTATCGGCAAGTGGGCCAATTAGCTTACTTCAAAATCAAAAGTTGAAGCTTAAAAAGCCAACAAATTTTCCCACAAATCAAATTGGCTGAAAATCACACGCTATTTGGAAAACCCAAGACACTTCAAAATTTCCATGAATTTTGGTTCCCTTACATGCATGCATTCTCATGTGTGCTTGATTGGTAAAGTTTGAACGTTTGAATCTCCCCTAGCTCCTCGATCGGTATATATTCATGTGTTAAACTGCTAATTAAGTATTCAAATTGATTCATTTTTGAATGAGGCCTAACATCAAGTAGTTCAAAAACCTGAAAGTTGAGTTGACTCCATCAATAAGCGGCTTTTCTTTAAATTTTTCTTAAAAATTTTTGTGCTATCTATACTTCACTCGGGATGAGATGTCTATTTTATGAATAATTATATACTCCCTTGTTTGGTACTGATTATGATAAGCATTTTTATTTAATAAATATCGATTCAGCTAAGTTAGTTTTGGTGTTCCCCTACTATATAAGATTCCATATCCATTCCATGCTCCATAATATTTACTTTGGACAGATTCGAAAAGACTAGTTATACCAAAATTAGCTACTATCATAATTTTAGGGTCCAACCGCCCAAATCAAGATTTCTTAACCTTGTTCCGATCCTTGTTCATGTCAATTAATTAATTTGGAATTAATTTCCTGGGGCCGATCAAAAAATAATAAAAAGAAACGTGGCATTTCCTGTGCAAGATACATGAATTCATGCGACGGGTTTAGACTTTAACTTTTCTAACAATAAAAAATAATAGAATAATTGATAACATTTTTTTTTTTTTGACCAGGTAGATAATTAGGAAGTTAGTAGAGTTAGTTTGTTAGCAGCTGGAATTTTTTCAGGAAAGTGAACGTTCCACCCCCTCATTTAAGGCGTGCGACCATTAGATCGCAAGTTGGTGGAGTTCACGATGGTGGCAGAATTCGAAACCTGACCTCCGCCTCACCCAAACCCTAAAGTTTGGGGGCCAACCAATTGGGCTACAGACTCGGTTGGTGAATAATTGATAACATTAATATATTCATTAAACAAAAAAAAATTAAATTAAAACAGTAAAAGGAATATATAACTTTCGGTCCCCCCAAAAAAAAAAAAAAACTCAAGAAGGCATATTGTACTATGAAAAGTGTAGAAAATTTTATACCATGCTGACTAGCCAAGCTAGCTAGGTCTAGAATTTCCGTTGCTTCTTTGTTGTGAAAGCAAAAGGCAAAGAAATTCCTTGGTTTGTGAGGCAAAGTATGTGATAAAGAAAAAAAGTTACATAATTGAATCCTCAATTAACTTTTTACATTAAATAATGAGTTATATAATAAAATATAACTTCTTTTTAAACTTAATCTTTTTATACTCATTTTCATTTTCACTTAATCTTTTCATACTCATCTCAAATTTTAAATTTAAAAATCAGTTTGAAATTTTAAGTTTTTAACTAATTAAGACACTTAAAACACTATCTTAGAGTATTTACTCAAGAATTAATTGCTACTATCAATATAAACTTAATTGAATCATACTTATGATCAATTTTTGAATATGATATTAATTATTGATTAGCCATCAAAATATTTGATAAGAGTACATGGATGATGTTATTGTTATATTTTCAGTTATTAACGTCATATTTTTATTTTATTTTAATTGATTACTATATTTTTTAATTTATTAAAAAATATAAAATATAAAAATTAAAAAAATATAATATAAAATATAATAAATAATTATTTTAACAGGTGTGAGAATAACCTCAGGTAGAGTATGTATTTAATTAACCCACTTTTTTGAGCTTACCGAGGCTTTATTCTCTTCTCTTGAAGTAATGGTAGTTAGCTTTTTTGGATATGAATGATTTATTGTCGTCCCGAACATGTGCAATTAAACTTCAAAAATAGTGTCGGACTAAAAAATATGCATCCTTCTACTTTGGTTGTAATTTTGATATTCGCCTCGTCGTTCTTCTCTCACGCCACTAATGCTTCAGGTGAATCGATCGGCGGCCCAAACTGCAGCCAGCCCTTCACAGACATGTTCCACCAAAAAAAACTCACAAAATGCAAGAAATTAACCACCTTGGAAGCTGAATTGGCCTGGAATTACCGGGTAAATGATACCCGTAAATTGATTGAGCTTGAGGTTCTTGTTGGCACGACGGTCATCACCTCCAAGGAGAACGGGTGGTTTGCATGGGGTGTGAACCCTGAAATGCCTAGAATGGTGGGTACCAGGGCCATCATAGGCCCTAAGCTGCCCAATTATCAGAAACCGATCATTGACACGTATAACATCACTGGGGACACCAAGCGGGGCTGCACCCTCCGGCCATCAAAGAACGTTTTAGGAGCGTACGACATGAGTGCGGACTACAATGACAACACCGGTCTCTTCACCATTTTCGCCAGGCTGATTCTTCCGGCGAAGGACTACGACATTTCAAGCCTTAATATTGTTTGGCAAGTCGGGCATCATGTTGATGGCTCGACGCCTCTGATGCATCGGACGACTCTCCAAAATTTTGATAGCAAAGGGAGACTGAACTTAGTGAACGGGCGGAGTCGCAGCATATTTGGACACCACAGGCACCGGCTGAGAAAGGTATCCACTGCTTCTAGCATATTTTTAATTTGCCGGGTAAATTTTGTGAGTGGTCCCTAATACACTAACGATGGTTCAATTAGGTAATCAACTTCTTATTTGTGATTAATCGTTATTGGTGGAAGGACTCAAGCCTTTTGGTAGAAACTCATGAGTTTTTTTCAAAATTTAAGCTCAAATTATTAATGGTGTTAATATTTACATTTATATATCATCTACAATAACACTTTCTTTTTAATATAAAATTTAAAGTAGAGTGTCACAACTAATTCACTAGGCTAAGGTTTTATTATCAATCCTAAGAAATTTAAATGACAAAAATTAAAAATTGAATAAAAAAATAGCAATCCAATCTCTAATAAATAATTAATTGTTTTGAAGTTATAACAATAAGAGAAAAGTAAATATTAAGATATTTTGACACTTTAAAT